GATATTACTCAGGCTTCATAAAGTGGTACTAGTACTTCATATGATCTTGATTCTATCCCTCTCTTAAGGCAACGTCGGATTGAGTTGGCATTTTTGGCTCCAGCCACACACTTCTGGCTCATATATATTGGGACAAATAAAAAAACACACAGCATGGCAATACAAAGGGAATAGGAGTGGAAGCTGACCAACAACTGTATCAGTGACTCTTGCTCAGTCAGCTAGCTGAGTGGAGCTTCCATATGAAAAGGCAGTCTACAAGCAAAGAGCCATGCCTTCTGTGGCAAAAGATGAGAAATAGGCAGCTTTGGTGATTTGTTGTTAGGTTCCTAGAGACCTTGGTCTGGCATTGGTTTGTGTAGAAATGGTGGAGAAGGTGATCTTTGATAGGATCCCAAAGGAGGCTTGTCATAATCATCTCCTTGGGGATTCTACTGGTTTGATGATGTCATCCATCCAGCTCAACTGTCAGTTACTGTCAGCTCTCAGTGATCTGAGTGGAGATGGCTGCCAAGTTTTCAGTAGTCTTCAGAAGTGCTCTTGGGCTCTGGGTAACCTTCCCCATTGTAGGCACCTTCTCAGAGGATTGGGAGATTCCAGAGGTGGGAGCAGCCATTTGTGGTCCTCTTAGGAAAGGTAAATAGGGGGCAAATGTGTTCTAGAGCAATTTTCCCTTTCATACCTGCTAAAAGACTAGATTAAATTACTTTCTCATTGATGGGGATCGCTTAGCATCCTTAACCTCTGAACTAGGAAGAACCTTTGAAATTTGATAAACTCAGGTTCCTGTAGAACATTTACAGTAATGTAAAACCAAACCAAGGTTAAAAGTAATGAGTTCAAGCCAGAAGTATTTGCTTTCCACTCAGTTATTTTCATCACAGGATGTTATTCTGTAATTGAACATGTGTTCAATTGAATCAAAGTGACTCTAGAAAAATAGGTTTTACTCCTTTCCTTTCCTTTCCTTTCCCTTCCTTTCCTTTCCTTTCTTTTCCCTTTCCATTTCCCCCCGGCATAAATGTTCTTCATCTCTGTAATGTGACCATGGGAAGCTGCAAAGAACTTTGAATCTGGGTCATAGGTGGCTCTGGTCTCTGTTGTACCTTTGAATGGTTGCTAAGTGACCAATCATAAGTTGAGAACTATCTGCAAAGAATTCATATTGTGTTTATGACACATGGATGGCTTCTTCCAGATAGTTAAGTACACACTTTTCTATAAAAAAAATTGCTTTAAACGTAGTTGTCAATTTATGACAATAGAGCAGTTGTTAAATATGTCATGCCCCGTTGCATGACCCGTTTGCTGTGGTTGTTCAGTGAGTCAGAAGCTGTTAAGTGAATCGTGTGCTTGTTAAGCAACTCTGGCTTCCCCCCTTGATGTTGCTCGTCAGAAGCTAGCTGGGACAGTTGCAAAAGATGATCAAGTGACTCTGGGACAGAGCAACTGTCATAAATAGGAGCCAGTTGTCCAGTGTCTGAATTTGGATCACGTGACCATGGAGATGCTGCAATGTAACTTCAAACGGTCCCTAAACAAACTGTTGTATGTTGAAGAGCCCTGAGGGTGGAGAGCTGGAGGATGCTGGAGGATGGGGGGGTCTTCCTATTGCAAGGAAGGAAGAATCTGGACAAAACCTCCCTCTTGAGCTCATCTGGATGAAGAAGGCAGTCGCTTCTCTCGGCTTCCCTCTGTCTGAAGGCATCTGGTGACAATCTGGTGCAGGAGAGAAGAACCTCTGTTGGGCCATCATTCTTCATTCTTCACTGCTTCCGGGTGATCCGGTTGCCGGTTGGGGTGTCTAGAAGCATCTCTTTCGCCTCATTCCAAGGTCATTCCCCAGGAGGAAATCTACGAGAGCTCAGCTGCATCATTTTTTCAAGACTTCTGCTCAAGCAGAGGGCTGGACTAGAAGATCTCCAAGGGCCCTTTCAAGCCTGTTATTCTAGGTTCTAGACATACACAGGCTCTGGTTGTACTTTTACTTTTATATAATAATATCTACTAGCCATTTCTAAAACAACAGCAAACCATATAACAGGAAAACCTAAATTCAAAGTTACATTTTTTTTTCCACCTCAAGCTGTTGGCCAAATCTGGCTCTAGAGCAGTGATTCTCAACCTTTTTAATGCCGCGACCCCAACCGGTCGTAAGTCGAGGACTAAACCGGTCGTAAGCCGAGGACTAAACCGGTCGTAAGTCAAGGACTAAACCAGTCGTAAGTCAAGGACTACCCAACCAGTCGTAAGTCGAGGACTTTCCCTGCTTGGGAGCGCCACGCATGCGTGGTTCCGTCCCCTGCGCTGGCCGAGGCGTAGCTGGCAAGCAGCAGAGACGGAGCAGGCCGACCACCAGCTGGCCCAGCCCAAGGGAGGTAAGGCACCCGCCGGAAAAGGGGGGAAAAATGGGGGACAAAAAAAATGGCAGACAAAAAAAATGGCGGACAGCCTTGCTTGGCGACCCCCATGAAATGGTCGATCGACCCCAAATGGGGTCCCGACCCACAGGTTGAGAACCACTGCTCTAGAGGTTCTGACTAATTCTAACATGCTTTTCCAATAAAGAAACAAGTCAGAAAATGATTTAAAAGCATTTTATAAAGTAGTTTGATAAAGTGGGGGTTCCCTATGAAAAGGGGGAACGTCGCTAAAATGGTTTACATTGACTTTTATATTAGCAAAACAAAGAACTTCAAAGCAAACCTTGATTGGTTTAGAAACAGTCATATGTCCAGTTACATCACAGAAATTAGAGCATCCAATAATATGTGAGCACAGCCATAGAAAAGAGCATTGC